CAATCACCTCTTAATCTGTATGATGCAGTGAGCTTGAACATATAATCAGGGTGGACACATTTGATCTTGTACCTTTCTGGGTTGACACGGTCTATCTTAAAATCGACCAAGTTGAGCATGTGGAATTTTGTTATGGCTCTGATGCATTCCTCTCTGTTATGAAACTTGTCATTCTCTTTTAAGTTTTCATCCGACTACATATACGAATTGAAAAATAAATCAGAAGACTGTTTATCTCTGCCCATGTTGAAGTTTGTCATGTGCGGAGGTGGTGTGTAGATTTCGTTTGCAGAAATACCAGGTATCCCATCATCTTCAGAATCATCATTCACCATTTCATCAAACTCTAACTCGTCATCTTCTTCTTCATCAACTGCATCTACCTCTGCTTGTTCGATCTCCAAAGGATCAACCACTTGTGTCACCTGAGGCTCTCGCAGCATAATGTACAACTCAATAGAGTCGTACCCAAAATTCACATGACTAGAAAACATATTCTGAAGATCCTCGTCATCTTGAACCTCAATCTTATAAAATATTATTTGGTTGTTACAAAAAAAAACTGGATTCTGATAAAATATTTGTGTCACCGGGGGTCTCGTCCAAGTTTGGCCTCCAATCGTTTTTTAAAGTACGAGAAATTGGCTTTCCCGTTTAAAAGAAATCAGATGTTGTCTGTGTCTCTAAACAAAAACCCATAGGTGGTACAAATGTATGTCTCACTGTTGAAATGTGCATTGATGACATATTGGGGTGCAGAGCCATTGCGTATGGTTGTTTGAAGGTTTGAAGGTTGGAAGGTTTGAAGTTTATGAGTTATTCGAAGGTTTGTATGTTTGATTGTTTGAAGGTTTGAAGGTTTGATTATATGAAGGTTTGAAGGTTGGAAGGTTTGACGGATTAAGTGAATCAGTGTTTTGATAAATGTAAGACTAAATAGGTCATACTGAATTTGAATTAAGTAAGGTTGTAACCTCCAAGGCTGCCACCTAGCATGCGCCTACTCTGCACCTACACTGTAACATGTAAGTCTCCTCCCATCACCTCTAATAGTGTTACATGCATTCAGGCATGGCTTCTCCAAGGCTATCACCTAGCCTGCGCCTACTCTGCAACCCGTGCCACCTCTTATTCGCCAATGGGAATGGCGACACCTTTCATTTTTGTACTCTTTCGCCAAGTCCAATGGCGCCTCCCTTAATGTCCAATCGTGTTACATGCATGCAGAGATGCCTTCTTCAAGGCTACCACCTAGCCTGCACTTACTCTGCACCTACATTGTAACATATAAGTCTCCTCCCATCACCTCTAATAATGTTACATGCATTCAGGCATGGCTTCTCCAAGAATGTCACCTAGCCTGCGCCTACTCTGCAACCCGTGCCACCTCTTATTCGCCAATGAGGATGGCGACACCTTTCATTTTTGTACTCTTTCGCCAAGTCCAATGGCGCCTCCCTTAATATCCAATCGTGTTACATGCATGCAGAGATGCCTTCTTCAAGGCTGCCACCTAGCTTGCGCCTACTCTGCACCTACACTGTAACATGTAAGTCTCCTCCCATCACCTCTAATAGTGTTACATGCATTCAGGCATGGCTTCTCCAAGGCTGTCACCTAGCCTGCGCCTACTCTGCAACCCGTGCCACCTCTTATTCGCCAATGGGGATGGCGACACCTTTCATTTTTGTACTCTTTCGCCAAGTCCAATGGCGCCTCCCTTAATGTCCAATCGTATTACATGCATGCAGAGATGCCTTCTTCAAGGATGCCACATAGCTTGCGCCTACTCTGCACCTACACTGTAACATGTAAGTCTCCTCCCATCACCTCCAATAGTGTTACATGCATTCAGGCATGGCTTCTCCAAGGCTGTCACCTAGCCTGCGTCTACTCTGCAACCCATGCCACCTCTTATTCACCAATGGGGATGGCGACACTTTTCATTTTTGTACTCTTTCGCCAAGTCCAATGGCGCCTCCCTTAATTTGCAATTGTGTTACATGCATGCAGAGATGCCTTCTCCAAGACTGCCACCTAGCATGTGCCTACTCTGCAAGAGTGACACTTATCATTCATGCATGCACCAGCTACCACCTAACTTACTTTATGAAATTTTTTTGCCTATAAATACAGAGCATAACATACTTCTCTCGCACCCACAAGCGTCTCACTCTCTGCTACAAAGTCTTTCATAATCTCTTACAATTTCTAAGTCTTTCATAATCTCAGGCATTTTCAACAATGGCTCTTCTCACAATGGGGGATTCTCACAGAGGCACAAGGGACAACATTGCAGCATTTGTAAGTTTCTTTTATAGTTATACATTTTTTATACTTCTGGTAATGCTTTGTTCATCTTACTTAATCTTACACCTTTACATTATTAACTCAGGATACCAAAAGATTCAGAATCCGGTCTCACAACTACCTGGATCCCGACCCATTTATCGTACCATATCTGGAATACGCAGGTTTTAGACATGTTATAAAGATCTCTAACTGCACAATAGATTCAAAGTTCATACTTGCCATGTTGGAAAGGTGGAGACCAGAGACCCATACATCTCACCTACCAATAGGTGAATGTACCGTCACGCTAGATGATGTGTACATGTTACTGGGTCTCCCTGTCAACGGTAAGGCTGTTAACGGGTTGGTTCAACAACCCAATTCTCTGCGTGAAGAATTGTTGGGCAGGGATATGGTTGAAGGTGGTGGTGCGAGAGGTCAGGGTATACTACTAACTGAGCTTAAAAATCATTATGCAACTTGGAATTAAACGAAAATTCCTCCGAGCAAGACAGGATAATAAAAGCTAGAACTTATCTAATGATACTATTTGGAACCTTTTTATTTCCCGAAAGTACGGGAAATAGTGTAAATTTTATGTATTTAAATTTACTTAGAGATTTCGAAAAAACTAGAAAGTATAGTTGGGGTTCTGCTATTTTAGCCCACCTATACAGTTCCTTGTGCAAAAATGCAATCAAGGAAAAATGTACATTTTATGGCTGCACTTTTTTACTTCAAGCCTGGGGTTGGTGGAGGATGGAATCCCTAAACCCCGTCAACAACAACACATTCGTTTTCCCGTACGCAACAAAGTAAGTCATCTAGTTATATAATTTATTACTGTTCATCTCTTCACCAAATATATGTTAGAAATAAAATATTTTTCATTTCCTTTAGGTATTGCATGAGGGGTATGGATTACGGCAAGAATCCAAGATTCAATGTCGCACTATACCGCAATCTATTGGATCACCTAGACCCGGATGATGTACGTCGTACCTTTCAACTTTTCTACTTTTAAATTTATTTATATATTACGCTTTAATTAACCTGATTTAATTTTATACGCAGTTTGTCTGGAGATCATATTTAGGTTTGGGCCATGAACCAAACCCCGAGGATGCAGCAATTTGGAGCGCCAAGACTGCAATCATACGGTTCAATATTATGGAGATGCACCACAGCGACCGTGTGAAGATGCAGTTCAGAATGCATCAAGAGATACCCAGTGATCCGACTTGTTTGTCCCCGTGGCATCTCAAAAGGGTTGACGCCCAGTGGGGTCTTACCAACTGGAAATACTTTGCTCCAGAATGGTGTAAGATGTGGCAGAGGCGTCACCGACATGTCTTGCAATTCCCAGTTTTCGTCAATCATGGTAATATACGACACACATATAAGTATTTATCTTGGTACAAGTCGGTTAGTAACCCTGAAATGCACGTGTCTCATCCAAGGTATTTGGTTGACCCACGAACACAATGGGCACAACCCTCGTTTCCCCAACAACAAACCCAACACACATCAACCTCCCGCCAACCCCCCAGACGAAACAGAACCACAAACACCCAACCACAGTCGCCACCATAATACAATTACACCCAAATGCCCCACAACCAACCACAATCACCTCCTCAGTACCAATACCCCCATATACCTCACACCCAACCGCAATTCCAATCACAATACCAACACACCCGCATACCCCACACACAATTTCAGTCTTCTGTATATCCTAATATGAGCCCCTCAACATCCAGCCTTAGCCCTGATCTAGAAATGTCGGAAGATTATGAACCAACCGACCCAACTTACCATCAACCACAGTATCACCAAACCACCCAACATCCTCAATACCAAACACCCCAAGATTCATTTCCTTTCTATCCCCCGTACTCAGACGATCAATGCTACAGACCCACCATGGAACCCTACCCACCGCCAACACGACCAAACTTTAAGGGTATGGGTAACCGACTGTACCAAAGCGGATCTTCTAGATATGGAGATTTGACTGATTTCATGGATCCGAAACGCATTGACTTCGTTGGGCCATCGACCATGCCACAGCAGGAAACGCGACGACACCCAGCACGGGAAAGGCGAGGACGGGGATGCGGAACCGGGGGTCATTACCGGGTTCCGGGGGACCACTGATTAATCTGTTTTTTTTTTAATCTGTTTTTTTTTATGTAATACTTATGGGTGTAATCATTTTTTGTAAATAAAAAGTCAATTTTGTTGATCCTATATCGAATACGCAACGCACCGAATTGAAGAAAAAAATGCGAAAATTGCCCTAGAAATGCACTAAGGTGCCATCTCACTTGGCTTAGGGCAAACTCTAAGCACCTAGGCGCCAAGTGAGATGGCGCCTCCCCTTAAATAATAGGTGTAGGCGCCAAGTGAGATGGCTCCTCCTTTGGGGAGTCATCTGAAACATGGTTATTTGCGTAATTTTTTCCGAAATATTGTTATTTGTGAATTTTTTTTAATACCTGATTATTGCAAAAAAAAGATTCAGAATGCTACACATGTTCATTTTTTAATGGTTAAAAAAAAGGAGAAAATAACACATGTAATAAATTTCACCCAGTAGATTCATATTTATATAAGACATTTTGACAAAACATTCAAGGTAAACATTGTTTCATTTTCACTCCTTTCTCATATTACCACCTAGTTTGTTTGATTTCTCCCTCAAGATGAATTGGTACGATCTTCAGCAAAAAGCATTTGTAGCATGTAAAGAGAAGAGAGGTTCTTTTACCATTTCCGATCAAAAGGAGCTCCTCATTTTTCCTAAGCCACTTCAAGTTGGAGTTATATTGGAGAAGCACATGGGTGTGTTTGCTAATCAAGTAGACTCATCTCCTCCATTTTTGTGTGTGTCTCCACCAGTTCGGACATCAAATCCCTTGGTCCAGGATGATCGATTTAAAGATGAGATAGGTTTGGCATCTTCAACTTTCGTATCTTGCAAAACATGATAAGTTAGAATGAATTTAGAACTCAAACCGGCTGCAATTAGAGTAGAAGGATTTGATTGCCTCGATATAGATGGCCAGAATTCGAGCATATGTACTTTCGCTTAAATGTTCCATTAAAAGAAATGTGTATATTGGCGAAGCAGAAAGCAATAACTTGTTAAAAAGAAATAATTTAAGTAGATTGAAGATTTTTTTTAAGTAGTTATAATATTGGGAGAAACAAAACTTGTGTTCTTGAAAAGGTTGGATATATGAAGAGATTTTGTGTGTTATAGGGTTAATGATGTTTTATTTAAGTGTCATTTAAATTTTTTAGGTAAGTAGGATGAGTTGTAATTTTGATTTTAAAATTTTGCTTTTAATATCTAGAGTGAAGACCCAACACAAACAAATAATTTTTAAATCATATCTTATGTTTTTACCACTATACCAATATATATCGGTGACAAATAATTATTATAATTTATAGTAATTATTAAACAATTCTGAATTTGAAACAAAAAATATAAATTGGAATCCATGAGATCACAAATTCAAGTCCTTTCAAATTAAATTGTAATCACTTTAGTGGAAGAATGAAAAATAATCTAAGAATAGAGGTGAATGAATTAAATTAATCAGTATTAGTGAATTTTTTTTATTATGAATGTTAGCATTATTCTTTTTATTTTTTCGAAACTGCTATGAATGTTAAAATATTAAAAATAAACGCAAAAATAAAGAACACTAAGATATATTACGATTCTCCTTTTCAAACAAGGGTATCACAGTCCCCTCACATCCTGTGAAAAATTTCACTAAGTCAAATATATTATAGTCGATCCACTTGACCCTCTTAATAATATAACACAATCACAAAGGCACGCCACCTTTTAATTTTACAATACACAAGAGAAAGCACACCACTTTCACTTGAATATAATGATCACTTACACTTAGTGAACAAAACATAATTTGAATAATAGATTTGTATGAAGTTGTTGCACTTGTATCAAACTCTATACAATTTTGCTAAAATTAACGATGTTTTTGTTTTTAAAATGACAAATTACTTGTTAAACATGACGATCATCGTATATAAATCTATTATTTAACTTTGTAGATAAAAATGTAAGATAAAAGTCTTAGGTTTAATATTACTATAAATCATAAGAATTATCCACCACCAATGTACATTAGTCTAGTAGTAAAGGCATACAATATACTTTAAAGGTCTTGGGTTCAATCTATATGATAACCAATTTTTATTTTTATTTTATATTTTTAAATTTGAAATATTTCAAAATAAATTTGAAATTAAAAATAAAACTAATTTGTAAAAAATTAAAAATAAAATCAAAGCAGTCTAATCATGCTTTAAAAGTGATAAAAAAACCGCTTTTAAAAAATATTAACAGAGAGATTAATATGATCAGATCAAATTTTGTAAGAGATTAAATCATATTGTTTTTATTGTAAGGGATTAATTTGGATATTATAATTTTTATGAAGGACCAAAATAGACCTTTACTCTAATATGTAAAATATATGAAGTTAAATTTATAAGTATGATTAATAGAAACTTAATGAATTAAGTGGGTTTTTTTTATATGTGAAATGCCATTTGTATGATCCTAGAAATAAATTAAAAAAATATTAATATTTTTTTCTCCCTAAATCATTAATTCTAATAATAAGCTTTATTTTTAAGTTTGAGAATGAGCTAAACTAGTCATACCTGAATTTTGTTTCATAACATTTTCAATGAGAAAGTGTTTTACCTTAAGAATTCATGTTTATTAGCTACTTTCATTAAAGAGTTAGTAGATTGGTTCTTAAAAGATTATTCTTTGTCAATAAATCTAATCGAGTTTTTATTGATGTTGAAAATTCATCAAAATTTATGATGAATTTTTATCAATTTTGATGAATAAGATTTTTATCATCACATAATGATAATGAAAAGAAAAGAAAATTAAATAAAAAAAGAGATTTAACGTTTCTGCAGAGTAACTCTCTGCCCACAAATTATAGAAACAATTTTATTCACTTGCAACTGTAAATACTATGAATGAATGAATTGATTACAAAATAGAGGTTAATCCCTCTATTTATAATTGAGTTTGCTTTCTCCCTAAGCCAAAAGCACAAAACTGTAAAAGCCCAAATACATATTTTAGACCTAAATCAAATCAAATCAAATTTGTGTGTAACAACCTGTTTACAATGCTTTGACACACCTTGTGTTCGAGAAACAACCTGCTTCGACACAAGGAATTACACTTTTAACACACCACCTAATTCATTGTGTCTAAGCTATTTATATTCATCATATCTCTTAGTCTTCTAAATACTTCAACCTGTACTCCTTTTGTCATGATATCTGTAATCTGATTCTCAGTTCTACAGTGTTCCAAGTTCATCTTCTCATCTTCCACATGCTCTCGAAGATAGTGGAACCTAATTTTGATGTGCTTGCTTCGACCATGTGCTACCGGGTTCTTCACCAAATTGATAGATGATATACTGTTGATCTTCATGGTAATTGCTTCATGATTTTTCCCTGTTATCTCTTCGACCAGATTCACCATCCATGTTGCTTGACATGCATAAAGAGAAGTATATATGTACTCTGCTTTGCACGATGATAATGCCACTACTGGTTCTTTTCTCAAACTCCAAACAACGGGTGCATCACCTAACATAAACACATATCCTGCTGTAGATTTTTGATCCCTAATATCACTACACCAACTTGAATCAGTGTACCCCACTAACTTGCATTATTTTCCTTTATTAGTTGCAGGAAACATAATGTCATAATCCAGAGTTCCTTTCAGATACGTCAATATCCTCTTCACAGTTGCTAGGTGTGATACCTTTGGCTTCTACATGAATCTACTTGCCATACCTACACTGTATGCTAAGTCAGATCTTGTATGACAAAGATACCTTAGGGACCCAATAAGTCTTATGTATTGGGTTGGGTCGACATCATATTCTTCTGAATCTTTCGATAGTTGTAGTCTTGGTTCTGTAGGTGTCAAATTCGAGTTGCACTCTTCCATCTCAAATATCTTGAGAATTTCTCCTGCATATCTTCTTGGGTGCATCATCAAACCTCTACTACTCTTGTAAAATTCGATTCTAAGGAAATATGAAATGTCACCCAGATCATACATTTCGAATTCCTAGTTAAGGTCACCTTTGAAGTCTTTAATCTCCTTTTTGCAGATACCTGTTATTAACAAGTGTCGTACCCCAAAATTTGCCCTCTCAATTTCTCAAGATATATCTCATGAAGATTTTCAAAAGCTCAAGTTTGCATAAGTACAAAGCAGATCGAAAGGAATGACTGCAGACAACAATTTGAATTCAAAATCTGGCAAATGGCCTCCTTCAATTCAAGCTTAATTCACCAGCTTTCAATTGGGCATCTGGCCTCCTTCAAACTTTCTTCAAAATCCCAAGCTTCGATTGAGGCAATGGCCTCTTGCATGCTTGCTTCATACAAGCTTCGATTGAACAAATGCTTATCTTCATGCTAGCTTCGACTGGACATTATTTCCCTTTGAGACAACTTCCTTCGTTTCTAAAGACAAGGGCCTCTTGTTGGTGTTCTTTGATTCAAAAGTTAGTGGCTTCCTACTAGCTTCTTTCGATTAAGAGGGCAATGACCTTCTGAAAGCTTCCTTCAATTCAGAAGGCAATGGCCTTCTGAAGGCTTCCTTTGATTCAAAGCAGGGGCCTCCTGCATGCAAGCTTTGATTGCACCATTGGCCTTACATGTTTGCTTTGATTCATAAAGTAGTAATCTCCTGCACACAAGCTTTGATTCAGAAGCATTAGCAGTACTTCCTTCATGCCTGCAAGGCAAGTACATCCTGCATGCCAGCATGCACAAGGAAAGTGTCTCCTATGTGCTTGCTTTCGACTCATAAGGAGATGGCTTCCTCTGTGCTTGCCTTCAATACACAAGGCAATGGCTTCCCTTTATTCTAGCACCCATAAAGTGTTGGCTATTTTCACGCTAGCTTCGACTGGTCAATATTCCCTTGGAAACAATTTGTTTCGATCACACATAGTTTCTACACTGGCACACAATGGGTGTCTCATTCGAAAGATATGTCTTGGTGACCCATTCGAAGAATTGCAAGTGGTGCACACAAGTGATGCATATGGTCCCTTTGAAAGACACACATATGGTCCAATCGAAGGACACATATTTGTCCCCTTCAAAAGATACACATATGATCCATCCGAAGGACACACTTTAGGTGGAAGCAAATATTGTTGTCTGAAGAGAGGTTCTGGTCAAAGGTTGGACCTATGAGGTCAAAACGAAAGGGTGAAATGTTCAAAGATGCTTGCTGGCCAAAGTCTTATGTGCTGCTAAGTCCAAGCCTACTGCACTGGTCACGATGCTCTAAAACTGCTGCAAAGCAGTCCTACTACGCTGCTCCCATAATTGCACCAAATTGGCATACAAAAACTGCACCTCGAAGACTACAAGAACAACTTGCTCAATTTGTTCAAATTCTTTTGTTTTCCCTCTCAAATCTCAGCCAACTTCATCTATAAATAGGATGTTCCACAACACATCTTAGGGGGGGCTTTTGGTAGCTGGAGAAACTTTGGTTGTGTGAAAATCATCAAACACTTAACACACTCTCAAACCCAGAATCAAAAGACCACACTTTGTTCTTTCTTTCAAATCCAGCAAAATAAACACCACACTTGTTTCTCTTCCTTCGAATCCAGAAACAAACAAATACAACTCCACTCTTCTTGGCCTTCGAATCCAGTCAAAGAAACACCACACTTGTTTCTTTCCTTCGAATCCAGAACCCAGGGAGACACCAACCCAACACTTTGCTCTTTCTTTTGAATCCAGCACTAGAAACACCACCCTTGTTTCTTTCATTCGAATCCAGGAGCACCCAGGGCAGCAACTCAGGTCCAAAACCCACATTCCAGATCCAAGCAAGGTAAGTCACCCTGACCTTAATCCTTTCGTTTCA